AAAGTGTTTCAAGTGATCTGAAAGAATTTTTTGGGGATCGCCCAGCACTGGGTTCCCCTCTATTTCTTCATCAGTTTGAGACTAATAAGTTCCATTTTTAAAAAGTTAAAAATTACATTATCATCGCTTTCATATTGATTTGGGGGGGGGGGGACCCCCAACACACACACACACACACACACACACACACACACACACACACACACACACACACACACACACACACGCACACACACACACACACACACACGCTCACTCACACTGTGGACCTGAGACTGCATCTGTAGGCTATGTGGCGCTTTGACTCCACCTCTGCAGAACTGACTAGATAGAGTAGTGAAACATATTTAGTATTTAATTTTTTTTAAAATTCAAGCTTCTCATCAGAATTAAACCAATCCAAATATGCCAGGCAAGATTCAACTTTATTGTATGAAAACTAGATGTGGGATGAATGTCATTTAACTCTATCCAAAAAAAAATTAAGTTTTAAAATCTCCAGCAGATGTACTCACTAAAAACTGTTAGATCTAATCAATCAAGCACTTATATTTCTCTTTTATGAAATGAAACTAAATGAGTAGACCTATATTCTATGTATAGATCTATGAATTTTGCAATATTTAAAATCTAACTGCACACATGAGAATATGGGCCACTGCAGTGCATTATTTATTGTGAGCACCGGTCTTCTGTATAGGCCTGCAGCGTGCTGTAAAACTCTGTGTTACAATCTAAGTTTTTCTTACCAAAAAATTATAATTTATTTCTGATGTTTAAAAAAATGGGTTATGAATTATTGGAAGGCTGACTTTGGTTCTTAAAATAGCATAAGTCACCTGTACGTGTACCACGGGAATGCATTGTGCGCTGAGCAATTTGAACTGTACGTACTGCCTTTGGAAACCTGCATCTTGAACAATTCTAGTGCAGAATGCCGTGGCCATGCTGTTTACTGTTACAAACCCTTCAAAATAAATAATTATTGTTCCCTCCAGGCCAGTTCCAAAGGATACAGGTCCTGTCCATGACAAAAGATCTAATAGTGTCTGCAATGTGATGTGAGAGTTTTGAAGAAGAAATTAAAAGTGGAAGAAAAAAAAAAAACCTTGACATATAAGAAGACAATGTCCTGCTGTAATAAATGTACTACGGAATACATGTAACAAAATTAAAGAGACAAAGAAATTACAAAGCTTACTTAATTATTATTAAGTAAGGAAGTGCTAGCTTGACCCTGTCAGGACCACCCTTGAATTCTGTAATGTCCCAAATTTATGTGCCTGACAGAGAAGTATGGACATAATATACAAAAGAATCAGCAAGAGACAATGCATACAGCAAAACAGTCTAAGAAAGACAGTCACATTCACCCACTTAATTGTAAGAGCCAGTTTCAGTAAAATGCTGTTAATCCATGAAAGATGCATTATACATGTTTTAT